TGGGTGCTGCTTAGGCTAAACACCTACTTTAAGTTCTGTTAGAAACAGACCAAGGAGTTATCTAGGGGTAGAGTGTTATTTCAGTCCTTCTTTCACCTCTACCCCCTCCAGATCTATATCCTTCTCATAACCAAAATATACCCATTTACCTCGGAGCCCCCAGCCTTCCTTAACTCACACCAGCATCAACTCTAAGGTCCAAGGTCTCATTTACACGCCATTGATCAGATATGGGTGGGAACTAAAGTGTAGCTCACCCAAGGCAAAATTCCCCCTTAGCTGTGAATCTAGGAATCCAGACCAGTTATGTGCTTCTAAAATTCAGTGATGGCACAGGCATGCGACTGGCATTCTCATTCCAAAAGAGAGAAATGGAAGGAGGAAATGGGTGATAAGTTCCAAGCAAATCCAAAACTTAACAGGGCAAATACAGTAAGACTTCAAAGCTCAGGAACAATCCTATTTGGTTTGATGATCTTCCTTACTAATCAGTAGGGAGCAGCCCTGCCTTTTGGACCTGCGGAGGTCCAGTTTGTATTGGGCCCTGTCCCTTCAGCTCCGGAGAACCACCAATTGCTCTCTGCAAGGAACCATCACACAGATCCACTAGATCAGGGTCCCATCCAAGGTAGATATAGCTTTGTCCCTCAGACCACGCACTGGGGACTTGGGGACTTGTGCTAGGAGCATGAGATCTGACTATCTTTTTTATTTTTATTTTTATTTTTTTGGCAGAACCAGGGATTGCACTCAGGCCCTTGTGCTTGCCAAGGAAGTGCTTATTCCACTGCACCTTCTCCCTGGGCCCTGGGTTTGTCTTTCTGTCTCCTGAAGGATACTGCATGATTCTAACCTTCCTTCACTCCACCCCATCTTTCTGTATTCCCCTAGTGACAGTAGTATTTTTGCCATTAGAGTCCTAAGACTTTTGTGGAGATGGCTGATTATACTTATTCTCATCTCTTCCCTGTCCTAATCTCTTTATCAAATAGTCCATCAGCCATTCCCTTGGTATTCTTTTCTGAACACATTTTCTCAGTTCTGGCGATTTGGAAAGACTGAGAATTTTCCAGAAATTTAAGTTGTGCTTACTTTTTGTTTAACATTTCTATCTTTAATTTCTTTCTCTCTTCTCATATTTTACTTTTAAACAGCCAGGAAGCAACAAGCCACTCCTACACTTTGCTTAGAAATCTCCAAGTTTAATATCCAGTTTCATTTCTTGCAACTTCCAGCTTCCACAGCGCACAAGATCGTGGAGGCTGGGGACGAAGCTCATCTGAGGGACACTTGCATAGTGTGTGCTGAGGTTCATGTCCAGTCGGCAGTGGCATGCTATACACACACACACACACACACACACACACACACACACCCCAAAAAGAAGAATAGGAACAGTTCAGTTTTTGCCACTGCATAGCATTGCCTTTCCACCATTTTCCAATCTTCCTTATTTCTATCTGAGACTATCAGGATGGCCTTCACTGTGCATATTTCTACTAGTAATCTGTTCATGATTATTTCTGTGTTCTCTAAGACAGTAGAACCTTTTTTTTTTTTTTTTGAAGGGATAGATTGAACACAGAGCCTTCATACTGACTTATGTCCTTAGCACCCACCCACTTTCTATAAATATTTTTATTTATAAAAATGTGGTCTTGGGGGCTGGGGAGATGGCTCAGTAGAATAAGCGCCTCCCTGGCAAGCACAAGGGCCTGAGTTCAATGGGGGGGGGGGGGATGTGGTCTCACTAAATCATTATTAAGCGACTCAAACTTGTCTCAAAGTTGCCATCCTCCTGCCTTAGCCTCCCAGAGTGCTGAGATTACAGACATGTGCCATAGTACCCAGGTTTACTTTTTATTTTGAGACATGGCCTTCCTAAATGGCCCAGGCTGGCCTGAGCTTCTGGTCCTTTTACCTCAGCCTCCAAGTATTGATTCAAGCATGTGTCATAGCCACTGGCAGCTTTCTTGATATCTCTGCCCTTTCTTTCCGAGACCTCACCAAAATCACCATAAACAATCCCTTCATGACAATCTTAGCTTTTTCCAGCATGCACCTCAAAGCTCTTCCAGTCTGTCCTTATTACCTAGTTCTAAAAATACTTCCAGAGGGTGAGACTGTAGCTCAGTAGTACCAGACTTGCCCAGAATGCAGAAAATCCTGGGTTCAGGCTGCAGCACCACAAAACAAAAAACTATCTCCACAATTTTAGCACTACAATAACACCCCACCTCTTGGTTGTCAGTTACTGTCTTAGCCACACAAGCTGCTGCAACAAATCAATGCAGGCTGGGTGGCTCAAGCAACAGACTGCTAGAGGAGCTGGGAAATCCACGGTGCTGGACAGTTGGACTCTTGTTATCACCGTGTGCTTAGGTGACAAGGAGAAAGGAAGCTTGGAGCCTTTCGTCTTCTTGTAAGGGCAATAGCTCCATTATGGGGGTGCATCTCTCATGAGTGCAGCTAAATCTAGTTACTTCCCAAAGGCCTTAACCTACTACTATCACTCTTGAGATGAGGGTTTTATAATGCACTTGGGGGAGACTTAAATGTTTAGTCCTAACAGGTTTTATCTACAAATTCCACCTAGGGAGAAGCTATTTACAAGCTTACTCATGTGGTTGTGACGTTCAGTTCCCAGTGGGATGCTGGACTGAAACCCAGTTCCCTGTGGGTCCTTAGATGAAGGCCTTCCTTATTCCTTGCCAGATGGGTCTCTCCCCATTGTGGCCTTCACGTTGTAGCAGCTGGAGTCCATCAAAGGCAGTGAGTGAGAGCAAGCAAGGGTGTGTAAAGCATAAACGGTTTTTGGTGTTTTTTTTTTTTTTTTGGTCCATGCTGTATTAATTAAAAGTAAGTTAGTAGGTTCAGCTTATAGTCTATGGGAGGGGACCACACACATGGGCTCCAACATGAGCAGGTAGTTGGAGACCACTGTGGGAGTCACCTTCCCCAGGGTCTTTTAGCAACATCCTGGCCTTGTTTTCCTGGTAGCATCCTGGCTTTCACCTTTGTTCTTAGACCATTTCTAATTTTAAAAGTTTTGTCCTCTAAAGAAGCAAGCTAGGGAGATGGCTCAGTAGAATAAGCACCTCCCCGGCAAACACAAGGGCCTGAGTTCAATCCCTGGTTCTGCGAGAAAAAAAAAAAAGCAAGCCAGGAATGAAAACTTATTCTCAAACTTTCTAAGTCCTGGCTTCTCTAATTCTCTAATCTAAGTCCCATTTCTTCTAATTCTGGAGGAAAATAGAACACTTCCTTTTTAGGCCACTTCACTTCTCTGGTAGAGTATCACAAACATCCAAAAGGAACTCTTTAGGCTAGGGTTGTAGCTCCTCAGGGCAGGGCACTTGCCTAATGTGTGAATCCCTGAGTTTAACCTCTAGCACTGCAAAATATGTAACTAAATACCATTTAATCATTTCAACGTTTTCTCCAGAAGTCTCCATAGCCAGAGCTACATGTTTATTAGGCACCTATTCCTGTCTTTCATATAACTGTAGGTTCATTGAACTAATTGCTCTTCCAATTCCTGGGCCAGGTCAGCCTGTGATAACAGTATTCTCACTGCCCCATAAGTGTTGTCAACAACTCCACTAGGTTCTCCTAGCTTCCAAACCCACCTATCCCAAAGTTACTGATGGCCGTGGGTTTGTATTACACCAGGATCCCATTTCTAGGAATGCAATTTTGTTTGTCATACATTGTATAACATGCTACCCTATATCTCAATGACTTAAAACAACACTCCGCCCGCCTTTTTTTTTTTTTTTTTTTTGCTAAACAATTTTGCAATGTGAGCAGCTTGCTGAAGAAAGATCAACCCTATTCCCATGGCACTGGCTGGGCAGCTCAACTAGGGCTTGAGCATCTACTTCCAAGATGGTTCTTTCAAGCTTGGTGTGTTAGCTAGCTTTCCATCACTGTGATGAACTACTCAAGAAAAACACCTTAAAGGAAGAAAGGTTTATTATGGCTCACAGGGTCAGGGGTTTCAGTCTACGCTTGGCCAGATCCATCACCTTCTGCCTGTGGAGAGGCAATGGCCTTCTAGCAGAAGGGTGTGGCAAGGGAAAGCTGCTCATCTAGTAGCAGCTGGGAAGTGGAAGAGGAGGCCAGGGACAAAGTACCTTTCAAAGGCATGTCCCAGTGAACTACTTCCTCCAAATGGCCCAGATCATTGTACCATAGTCCACTCAGCTATCAGCACATCAGTCCATTGATGAGGTTAGCATTCTGATGATCCAGTCATCTAACCCCCACTTCCAAATATGGGTGAACTGGGAATCCTTCCCTCAATACATGAGTCTTTAGGGGACACTATTGATCGGTTGATTTTTTTTCTTGAGGCGAGGTCTTGCTTTGTAGTTCAGACTGACTTCAACTTGCAGCACTCCTCCTGCCTCAGCTCCCTGAGTGCTGGGAATACAGACATGCTGGACACATTGGCACTGTCTGCTGAGAGCTCTGCCAGCATTCCAAATCCTCCATCATGTGGGGCTCTTCCTGGCTTCTTTAAATGATAGAAGGAAATGAACACATCTTGGATGGAAGAATAGGGGTGGGGTAGGGTGGTGGCATACAACTGTCTTCTTCTTCTTTTTTTTTTTTTTTTTGGTGAAACTGGGGATTGAACTCAGGCCCTTGAATTTGCCAGGGAAGCACTTATTCCAGAGCCATCTCCTCGGCCCCTGTGGCATACAACTGTGAGTGTGTATTTAATACCGTACTATACACTTAAAATTGTTAAGATGGTAAATTTTATGTCTTTTTCCACTATTAGAAAAAAGAAAAGGATGATAGCCTAGGGGAGGAAGCAGTGGGTGGAGGGAAACAGTTGTCATGGATGACAGGAGCCAAGGAACAGAGCCTCTGGCCCCAAGAACCCCTTTGGCTTGGCATAAGATTTTAACAGACAATCCTCAACACATGTGGTAGATACTGCAGCTTTCTGCTGTGAAGCTAGCATAGGTACAAAGCCTGAGCCATGCAAATAGCCTCAAAATAGCCTTTTAATGTCTGCAATTCCCAGAGACAAACATTTAAGACATAATTATGGGTTTGGATTTCTTAATGCAAGCCTCAAAAGGAACAGTGCCAGAGAAACAGTGATGAGCAATAAAAACTACAGGTGCATATGATGTTTCCCCTTGACTCTGGCATGTAACCTTGTAGGCCAGACAGAAATATAGTAGGGCAGTGGACAGGGGAGAGGGGCAGATGTTTCTTGGTCATTAGCCCAATTTTTCCGCAATATAAAATCTCTTTGTTGTCTTATAACTCTTAGTATGCCTGGAAACTATCGCTACTGAAGAGATCTCACTTTTGAAACTTACTTTCTTTGAAGTAGTAAACAAGTCATCAGGATTATTTATGGCCTGAGTGTATGGTCCTCCCTCCCAACACACGCACACGTGCATGTGTATACTCCCCCATACACACTCAAGTCACAAGGTTTTATAAATAATGAAGGTCTATTTACAGATTTTTTTTTCCCCTAGGTTTTGTTAGTCATACATTATTCAACTTTTCTTCCAAATAAGTCTAAACCATTCCTTGGGGAAATGACAGGAAACAGAAATTCCTTTCATCCAGGCATGTTATCCCATCATATACTCTGCTGAGAACACTGCATTGACCCTCACCTCCCCAACTATAGACTTTAAGAAATTCTGTTGGCTTATCAATTTTATTGTCTGAAGTGTCAATATACTGATATCAGTTCCCTTTTTATTTCTTTGAAATCTCAATTGTCTCACTTTGTTCAAGGTCTTCTTTTAGGGCCTGCCTCCTGCAAAATAAAGAAAGACCTGTCTAGTGACATGTGGCTCTCTATTCTAAGACACTTCTGCTAATCCATTCTTTCCTCCTGGATCTTGAGTAAATCTAATGTTGTTCAAGTCCAAGAAAAAGTAGCTGCTAAAACTTAATGTGATCATTCATTCCAAAGTAACTGAGTACCTACTATGTGTTAAGGTTTTCTTTTCTTTTTTTTTTTTTTTTTTTGGTGGAACCGGGGATTGAACTCAGGCCCTTGTGCTTGCCAAGGAGGTGCTTATTCTACTGAGCCATCTCCCTGGCCCCTATGTGTCAAGTATTGTATAGAGATTGAGAACACAATGAACAAACCAGACAAGGCTCCTCTCATGGAACTTATTTTTGTTTCTTATCCCAGAGGTTTCTGACTTTTAACAATGGACAAAGTCCCGGTTTGGCCTAAAGAAAAAAAAAAAAAAAAATTCAGGTTCTATATTTGGAATTAAGCCACCTTCCCCTGTATGGGGGAAGGGAAAGTTCTTCCAGCATCCTGAGATCATACAACATGTTCCATCTGCTCTTAAGTGGGGTCTGACTGGAACCATCAAGGACTAGATTAACTGTCATTTTCCTTGGGTCCCTGCCAGGCTCCAGAAAAACAATGCCTTTCTGTGGGACGCACTCATGATAGGCAAGAATGACCCAGAAGCGCAAAGTCCTGGGATTTCTGGCCAGCACAGGGGTCCAAGACCACCACTCAGCCCTTGCTCAGGAAGATATTGCCCCCTCGTGGTTCCTCCGGTAACAGGACAAAGCTGGCCTTGGGAAGGGCTGCTAATTAATATAATCAATACACTAAAAGTTTCCCGATCTCAGCCCTGCTTCGAATGTCTTCAGTTGTAGTTTCCACAGACTCTTGGTTCATTTCCTTCCCGGATACACTGTTGTTCCCATGGAGAGCAATGACATTATGACAGCAATGAAAGGACAGAAACTTTTTTTTTTTTTCCATGTAGAAACACGTTCAAAATCTCCAGATGTCCAAGAAAAACTCAATGTGTGAGTCTAAGCATCACTACTCTTTTCATAGCACCTTTAAACTTAAAAAAAAAAAAATGTGTGTGCGCTTTCTATAATCTGAACCAGGATTCTGGATTATGTCTCTGCGCAGCTGTTTGGGGTATCTTGTCTCCACAACACCACTTTAAATTCCCTCAAGGCAGGGCCCTTATCTTCAACTCCTACTGCCCCCTCCACCCTACCACCGGCAGCACTTAAACCAGTGCAGGGTAAAGAATTTCTAGTGGGGGTAAAAAGATAAACAGTTCAGCAAGCAAATAATTAGAAATCATGATTGGTGCTGTGGGCGAAAGAACCCCTGGTCTGTGAGAAAATTCCTAAGTGAGAAGTGAGACAGAATTTACTGAGGGGTTAAGATTTTTAACTTTGCAGCAGTCAGGTTTAAAAGCTTAATTGATCTCCCTATTGGAAAAGCTCTCTAGGGTCCAGAGAAAATGGAAACTTAATAATAATGTTAGCTTCCTTGTAGAGTAAACCTAACCCAGGCAAGAACAAGAGTGCTAAATGTTATGACTCTATCAATCTGTAATCTCTAAAACCCTGGGAGAGAAAAGCACGGCTGTCCTATTTCATAAGGGAATCGCAGCTCTGCGGTGCTTCTGGGTTTGTGGGCAACCACACCAATTGCTGGGTACTTGGTGCTTTGTATCTCGGGAGATCGTCCGTGTTGACCTTCTAGATCTGCTGGCAGCGAGGCGCATTCACTTAACTAACTACTGTATACCAGGTAGTCCATTGAAATAGCTGTGGGATTAAAAAGACAAACAGGGCAGGGTCTTGTGTTCCAGGAAGGAGCTCCCCAAGAGTGAGCCGGCCAGGTACACAGTTGGCTCCAGAACAATCTGAAAGGGCACAGCAGTCCGGTCAGGGGTTTCGGGAAGCCTCACGGAAAGAGCAGTCCGTCGGGTGGGCTGGAGAGGTTTCCCAGGCCCAGGGCCTTTGAGGTGGGGTGGAGGAAGCGTATTGAAAAAGCCCACCGGTTGCGGTCTGTCCCCGCTGTCCCTCGAGTTCTCTTGTCCGTCGTGGCAGACTGGGGAGGGAAGAAACCGGTGTCGTTGGTCCTGACCAGGAGCAAAGGCCCGGGGCTCCGGGTGCAAATCCCTGTGAAAGGCAGGCGGACAAAAGTAGCCCTCGCCGGAGCGCGCCCGCTAGCCCGCCCGGCCGCTGCCCGCCGGTCCCCAGGCCCACGCGAGTCCAGCAGCTCTCGGGGTCCGGGCGCGCGTGCCTCCGCACGCCAGGGCCTGGCCCGGGACCCTCGGCCGCGTC